AATCTTGACAAGGAAGACATGGTAAAACAACAAAGCACTAAAAAGCTAAGGGAAAGTGAAGGAACAGTAAAGAGATCTCCCATTTAAAATGGAAAAGGTGACACTACAGTGCTAATAAGCGATGGTCACATAAACACCACCCTATACCAGAAACCTACTGACCACTATACTTACCTACATGCCTCCAACTTTCATCCAGACCACACCACATGATCCATTGTCTACAGCCAAGCTCTACGATACAACCGCATTTGCTCCAACCCCTCAGACAGAGACAAACACCTACAAGATCTCTATCAAGTGTTCTTACAACTACAATACTCATCTGCTGAAGTGAAGAAACAGATTGACAGAGCCAGAAGAGTACCCAGTAGTCACCTACAATAGGACAGGCCCAACAAAGAAAGTAACAGAACGCCACTAGCCATTGCCTTCAACCCCCAACTAAAACCTCTCCAGTGCATCGTCAAGGATCTACAATCAATCCTGAAGGATGACCCATCACTCTCACAGATCTTGGGAGACAGGCCAGTCCTTGCCTACAGACAGCCCCCCAACCTGAAGCAAATACTCACCAGCAACCACATACCACACAACAGAACAACTAACCCAGGAACCTATCCTTGCAACAAAGCCCCTTGCCAGCTGTGCCCACATATCTGTTCAGGGGACACCATCATGGGGCCTAATCACATCAGCCACACCATCAGAGGCTCATTCACCTGCACATCTACCAATGTGATATATGCCATCATGTGCCAGCAGTGCTCCTCTGCCATGTACATTGGCCAAACCGAACAGTCTCTACTGTGACGGGGCAAAGCCAGCTGGCTATAGAAAAGTAGTAGGAGATAGATATATTAGCTCCAGGCTAAACAAATCCCTGGTACCAGGATAAGTGAAATGGCAGGGAGGTCAATGCTCCAGGTCAATTAAGACACCTGGGGCCAATTAAGAACTTTCCAGGAGGCAGGGAGAAGGCTAGGTTGATTGGGACACCTGAAGCCAATCAGGGGCTGGCTGAAACTAGTTAAAAGCCTCCCAGATAGTCAGGTGGGTGTGCATGTCAGGAGCTGTGGGAGGAAGTTGCGCTGTTGGAGAGGCTGAGTAATACACACCATATCAGGCACAAGGAAGGAGGCCCTGAGGTAAGGGTGAAGTGGAGCTTGAGGAAGTGAGGGCTGCTGTGGGGGAAGTAGCCCAGGGAATTGCACATGTTATGTTTCTAAAAGGTCAGCTACCATAGCTGATACTATTAGGGTCCCTGGGCTGGAGCCTGGAGTAGAGGGTGGGCCGGGGCTCCCCCACACACACCTTTGCCCCCTGATTAATCACTGAGACTGGGAGACAACAGAGACTGTGCAAGAAAGGATAACTTCTCCTCACCTCCCTTGCTGGCTTATGATGAAAATGGCTCAGTAGACTGTGACCCTTGTCTCTAGAGAGAGAAGGGTTACATGCAGGGTCACAGTGAGCCTCTGAGGCTAGCGAAATCTGCCAGGAAACGTGGGACCCACGGAGGCAAGGACAGAGCTTTGTCACACTACGTAAAAGAATAAATGGACACAAATCAGATGTCAAGAATTATAACATTCAAAAACCAGTTGGAGAACACTTCAATCTCTCTGGTCACTTGATTACAGACCTAAAAGTTCTGGTCACCCTAGTCCTGTTCAACATATTCATAAATGATCTGGAAAAACGTGTAAACAGTGAGATGGCAAAATTTGCAGATGATACAAAAGTACTCAAGATAGTTAAGTCCCAAGCAGACTGCAAAGAGCTACAAAAGAATCTTTCAAAACTGGGTGACTGGGCAACAAAATGGCAGATGAAATTCAATGTTGATAAATACAAAGTAATGCACATTGGAAAACATAATCCCAACTATACTTATAAAGTGATGGGGTCTAAATTAGCTGTAACCACTAAAGAAAGAGATCTTGGAGTCATTGTGGATAGTTCTCTGAAAACATCCACTCAATGTGCAGCGGCAGTTAAAAAAGCGAACAGAATGTTGGGAATCATTAAGAAAGGGATAGATAATAAGACAAAAAATATCATATTACCTCTATATAAATCCATGGTTTGCCCATATCTTGAATACCGTGTGCAGATGTGGTCTCCCCATCTCAAAAAAGATATATTGGACTTGGAAAAGGTTCAGAAAAGGGCAACAAAAATAATTAGGGGTATGGAACGGCTTCCATATGAGGAGTGATTAATAAAACTGAGACTTTTCACCTTGAAAAAGAAATGACGAAGGGGGGATGTCATAGAGGTCTATAAAATCATGACTGGTGTGGAGAAAGTAAATCAGGAAGTGTTATTTACTCCTCATACCACAAGAACTAGGGGTCACTAAATGAAATTAATAGGCAGCAGGTTTAAAACAACCAAAAGGAAGTATTTTTTCACACAGTGAACCTGTGGAACTCCTTGCCAGAGGAAGTTGTGAAGGCCAAGACTATAACAGGGTTAAAAGAAGAACAAGATAAGTTCCTGGAGGATAGATCCATTAATGGCTATTAACCAGGATGGGCAGGGATGGTGTCTCTAGCCTCTGTTTGCCAGAAGCTGGGAATGGGCAACAGGGGATGGATCACTTAATGACTACCTGTTCTGTTCATTCCCTCTGGGGAATCTGGCATTGGCAACTGTAGGAAGACAGGATATTGGGCTAGATGGACCTTTGATTTGACCCAGTATGGCCGTTCTTATGTTCTGTTTTGGCAGCCTGAATGGGATCAGGGAAGAAAAGTTCACAAAATCCCAGAGCCCCTTAAGGTGGGTACTGAAAGGGAAGCAGCAGCATATCAAGGCATTGATCTTCATACCTAGCTAAAGTGACCTGCAACAAGGAGGGAACACTCTGAGCCAGTCCCAGCTGACTAGTGAAATATGACATTAAATATGTTAGAGAGACAAGCTGGGTGAGGTAGTATCTTTTATTGGATCAACTTCTGTTGGTGAGAGAGACAGAAGTTGGTCCAATAAAAGATATTACCTCACCCACCTTGTTTCTCTAGTATCCTGGATCGACACAGCTACAACACTGCATACAACAGTGAATATGTTGTCTGTTTCTTGTAAAGATAGAGAGCTGTGTTGGGAACTTCCAACAACTTTACTTGTTAACTTACTTTAAAGGTGAAGTACAATGCATTTTGTCAGCACCAGTTCTGGGCTCCCAGAAAGGTTTTTGCTGCAGATGCCTTTGCTAAGAATTAGGGATAATTTTGGGGGAGGCTTCAAAGGTGTTCTGCAGTGATATATTTAAAAAAAAACAGGAGTCTTTTCTTGGTTCATCTGATTTGTTGTTCATGCAGATCCATTTTGACTTGATTCAGTTCTAACCAACCCAGTTATTAGATTGTAATACAGTAAGTGGCTGAATTTTCTTTTCAGAGTAAAACAAGCTCAAGCCTGCCCCCTGCTGACATTTTTGCTATTTGCATACTGGGAAGGCAAATATAGGGACCAAGCACTCTGGGTGCTCTTATTCTCCTGAGACCTCCTCAGAACCTAGTTGCTGACCTCTGAGCACAGTGGGAGAGGAAAACTCTTCCTGAAAACACAAAAGGACTTGCCATTCCCAAAGCCAGTCCCAGATGATGGAACACCCCTTTCCATGGTGTAAGGATCTGTGTACTGTTGCTTTCAAACAGCAGGAAGCCAGGTAGGAAGGGGATAGGGAAGCTAGGCAGAGGCTTTGCATTGAAGAGGAGACAGAGCAATGTTAGGGATAATACTGTTTTCCTTATTATAAAAAAAATCCCATTTTAGTGCTAGAAGAAAACAACTTTCAGGGATTCTTTGGTATTGACACAAGAGCGCTCCTGCTTCTTGGACCCACATGGAACATGTAGCTGCCGGCAGGCATGGCCACCACATGATCCCCCCATACAGATCAGGCTGACTCAGTTCTGGAATCTGACTCCTTTTCCTATAGTCTCAGACCTTGCAAAGTCTTCTCAGAGCCCTGTCCCTGCCTACCCACCCCAATCCTAGCCCGTTCCAATTTACTCTATGTCAGTGGTTCTCAACCAGGGGTATGCAGAGGTCTTCCAGGGAGTACATGAACTCATCTAGATATTTGCCTAGTTTTACAACAGGCTACATAAAAAGCACCAGCGAAGTCAGTACAAACTAAAATTTCATATGGACAAAATGAGAAAGGAAGCAATTTTTCAGTAACAGTGCTCTGTGACACTTTGTATTTTGATGTCTGATTTTGTAAGCAAGTAATTTTTACGGGAGGTGAAACTTGGGGTTCGCAAGACAAATCAGACTCCTGAAAGGGGCACAGTAGTCTGGAGAGGTTGAGAGCCACTGCTCTGTTACCTCATACAGTCCTATGTTTCCATGCAGGGCATTCAAGCAGCCTGGTTTGGGGTATTGAGTCTACAAGTTTGTGTATAGCAGGGTGGGTATGTATATGCAGGTCTCAAAGGTGGTGTGTGCGCCTGTGTGTTCGGGTATGGTGTGTCCGCAAAGCTCAGCTGGGGTGCGTGTCTATATGTGTCTGTACATACAGTGTGAACACGCCTGACTCGGCTGCGGGGGTGCGTTTAGATGTCTGTGCGCATGGTGTGTACGCCTCACAGTGCACAGGTGTGTGTGCGCGAGCAACCACCAGAGGAGACAAAGATGGAAACTGCCCTGCTGGTGGGTGGGGGAAGGAAGAGGCTCTTCCCTCAGGTACCAGGAGGGCCGTTTCCACTGTAGAACCGAGGACGTCTCGCTGTCGGCGCTGAACGAAGCACCGGGAGGCGGGGTTCGGTGGCAGCGATGGGGAAGGGCTAGGCCGGGAGACGCCATGTTGGTGGTGGCAAGGGCGGGGAGAAGGGGCAGGCCGGGAGACGCCATGTTGGTGGTGGCAAGGGCGGGGAGAAGGGGCAGGCCGGGAGACGCCATGTTGGTGGTGGCAAGGGCGGGGAGAAGGGGCAGGCCGGGAGACGCCATGTTGGTGGTGGCAAGGGCGGGGAGAAGGGGCAGGCCGGGAGACGCCATGTTGGTGGTGGCAAGGGCGGGGAGGGGCAGCCCGGAAGCCGCCAGGCCGGGCCACACGACCCGCCAGTCGAGACGCTGACAGCGGGGCGCGAGGCCGGATGGTGCCGGTGCTTCCTGGCCTGTTCGTGGGCGGCGCGGCGGCCGGGGCCCTGCAGGCGGCGGGGGTGGCGGCGCTGCTCTCGGTGGACGCGGAGGAGCCGCCCGCGGTGCCGGGGATCCGGACCCTGCATATCCCGGCGCGGGACGAGCCCGGCACCGACCTGCTGAGCCACCTCGACTCCTGCGCCGCCTTCCTCAGCGCGGCCCGGGCGGGGGGCGGCGCCGTCCTGGTGCGATGGTGAGCCCGGGGCAGGGGACCCCTCCTCCCCCCAGCGTCCAAGGGGCCGCGTCCTGGCCCGGGCTGGGCTCCCGGGGCAGTGCGGCCGGAGGCTGAGCTGTCCGAGCCCCTTTGCACTGGCCTTAGCACCAGGGCAGGCAGCGCCTCAGCGCTAGGCCTGGGGGAGCAGTGCAGAGCTGCTGGAACTAGCCGTGTGGCGGGGTGGGAGCTGCCGCCCCACGGCCAGGCTGGAAGCGGTTCCCATCATACATGGGGTTTACAGTTTGGTTCAATGGCTCTCAGCCCCCTCACGGTGCAAATCTTTCCAGCATCCCTGGAGAAGTGAGATGTGGTCGGGCCCTCCCTCCCTGCAGTGACCAGGACCAAGCGATCCCGTTTTCACCTCCCAGGTCCCCACGCTCCCCTGCCAGGCGCTGCTCACGTTCCCCCTCAGGCCAGAAACGGAGGAAAGAGATTAATTTCCCCAGAAGCAGACCAGTAAAAATGGAAGAGAGGCTTGAAATGAATGAATTCTCCTAGTGTATTTTCCCCAGTTTTGTTCATGATCTTATTCTGAAGAGTTCTTTGTCTTTCAGCCATGCTGGAGTCAGTCGAAGTGTTGCTTTAGTGACGGCGTATTTAATGAAAACCAACAATCTCACCTTCGAAGAGGCTTATGCCACTATCAAAGCCATCAAATCAGATGCCAAGTGAGTTCTTTGCCCTGATAAGATTCCTTTCTGTCCCTGTGTGGACTAATATGTACATTCTCCATAGCCTAGGAAATGTGCCTCTGATTTTCACTGTTGTTCCAGAATGAACGAAGGCTTTGAATGGCAGCTGAAACTGTATGAAGCAATGGGCTGTAAAGTTGATGTGACCAGTGCCATTTATAAACAGTATCGCTTGCAAAAAGTTACAGAGAAATATTCTGGTGAGTGAAGGTAATGTCTGAGGTGGTGTGTGTTCAGGGGAGCTAGAGCTATAGTAGCTAAGATAGGTTTCAGAGTAACAGCCGTGTTAGTCTGTATTCGCAAAAAGAAAAGGAGTACTTGTGGCACCTTAGAGACTAACCAATTTATTTGAGCATGAGCTTTCGTAAGAGTTATTGAACTTGCAAAAGGATGGTATATTATAGTTCTAGGGTAGATACCTGTTCCAGGACTGAAATATTAGCACTATCTGAATCAGCCTTTCAGTTACACTCTGCTGGCTCTAATCTAATTTGGTTTGGCAATTCTGTTGATTTATACCAGTGCAACTGAGAGCAGATAGTGCCCAAATATGGTGATTTGTGCATGTAAAAACCTTGATAGCCTGAAAACTTTGCATGTTGTGTGTATAAAGTTTTGTGACTGGGAGCTATCTGTACACCAAGACAAGATCAAGACATACTATCTGTAGATACAAAGCTTCTTGTAATTAGCACAATGGAACTCCCCTTTTTAGGAACTAAGGGGTGAGGCTCATCTCTTAGGAACTTCCTAAGGAAGGGGAAGGTGAGGGTAAGAAGTGTGAAGACTATAAATAGGTCATTAAGTTTGAGTTCAGTTCACAGATTTGTATCACTCTCTCTCTGCAGAGCTGCAGGACTTGCCACGAGAAGTCTTTGCAGTTGACCCAACCAGCATTTGTCAAACTCTCAACAGTGAGGTTCTCTATAGGTGCAGAAAATGCAGGTATGGAGCCTTTCATTTCTCACAAAGCGTTACTCTGAAATAAACTGTTGTAAGGAAAATAGCCTTTATAGCTTATTGGGTTTGTCTCTTTCAGAACAGGAATAAATCCTTGAAAAACTTTCAAACAGAAGTACATATGATACTTTCCTTTGCCTAATCTTTGTTTTGTGATCATGAAGAATAAAATGTCTCTCAGGCTCTGAAGTCCCTTAGAACCCCTGGAGCTAAGTGTACATCTTCTGTAAGTAGGTGCAGCTCCACTTAAGTTGCTTCTGCTTACACCAAAACTAACACTGAGTTTAATAAGTTGAAACTGTTCAAAATCTGCCCCGCCCCAAAGAAGCCTCTTAACTCCATAGGTCAGTTGTCTGGTCTTGTTTCGGCCTCTCTTTCTTAATCATTGGAAATAAGAGAAATTCCTATTTTCTAGCTGTACAGTTCCCAGACGCATGTACCTGGATGATCTCATGTTTCATTAGCTAGGAGTTTGCTAAAAGTAACTACATAAGAAACAAAGTGTAACTGTGGGAAAGAGGCCCAGGGCTGAAAACATGATAGGATTTGCTGAGGTCGGGAGGGGGCCTAAAAAGGGACAGCCTTCATTGTCCTCGTCAAATGAAAAAAGAAAATGTACACTGTATTACCCCATCCATTTGCTGCTGCTACTATTGTCTTGTACTTCACTGTTGTCCAGTTATCTTCAGCCTTTTTTTCTCTCTCTCTCTCTTTTTCCTCTGGAGAATAGACGTTCCCTATTTCGTAGTTCGAGCATTTTGGCCCATGCTGAAGGAAGTGGACCAGCAGCCTTTGCTCACAAGAGGATTACAGATCCTGCTCAGCTTCGTAATGACAGTCGGGTTAAATGTACCTCTTATTTCATTGAGCCTGTACAGTGGATGGAGCCAGTATTGTTAGGAGTGATGGAAGGACAGGTGAGGGGAGCAAGCACTTCACAATATTTATCTATGAAACTCCTTTAAGAGACATTCTCACTTTTTTTTTTAATGATTCTGTGCATCTGACCAGACTCCTTAAATCTCCTGGTTTTACTGCTCGTGCAAGACTGCTGTTACAGCTACAGTCCTTTCAGTCTCCACCACCTCTGAAGCTCATTAATAAGCTGTAAATGTCTTCTTCTCCCACTTCCTACAGCTCTAGGGCTCCCACATGACAGTCACCAATAGCCACTAGCTGATGGCGGATGATACCTGGAGTGGAATTCTGTTTCAGGTATCCTCCATGACAGTAGATTATTAAGCCATAGGACACCATTTTTATAGCTCTATCGAGTAAAATTGTGATTATGCAGCAGAGATGTTTTTAGAGCAACGTTGCAGAGTTTCACTTACCCTGTTAGAGATTGTGGGTTTTGTTTTGCTGAAGAAGCATATCTAGGTTTTTTCCATTATCACCAACATGAAGGACAAGTAAGTAGATTTGATGCCTGGACTGGTGACAACACTGTAAAGCTGAGTTAAACTATATGTTTGCTGCTTTCTCAGCTCCACTTCTGTCAGAAGACTCTTCTCAGCTCTCTTCTGCCCTCCCAAAAATCCCAGCTTTACCATGTATGCAGTTCTGCTGCCTCTTTCTTCCCACATTCCAGAAAAGCATGATCACATTACTCTACATTTGTTTGAAAATGGCTTCCAGAGAAACTTGAAAATAGGCACTGTTTTCATCGCTCTAACAGTGGCATATGATACGGTATGGCACAGTGGCCTGCTCGTGAAGGTATCATGGGTTCTGCTACCTTAGATCACAGGCGTTGTTGAACTGTTCCTCTGCGATAGGCAGTTCAGAGTCCATGTGGGGGAGAATACGAGTGCTTGGAGACGATAGAGCGGTGGGTTACCCCAGGGCTCTGTGCTTTCTCCAACCCTGTTCAACCTTTACATTAATGACCTGCCAACAACGGAGTCACGAAAGTTCATTTACGCAGACGACATCTGTTGTGGTACCCAGGCCCGGACATTTCATGAGCTTGATGCCACCTTAAACCGGGACAAGATAAAGTTAGTTGACTACTGTAAGACTTGGTCACAAGCGTCATAAAAACAGTCTCCAGTTCGTTCCATCTTCATCATGCCAGCACAACATGAGAACTGAATGTTTATCTGAATGGTCAGAAGGTGAAGCCTAAAGTAGAACTGGTCTATCTAGGTGTGACCTTAGACCGCACACTGAGTTACCATGCCCACCTGAAGAAGACAGCAGCTAAAGTTAAGATGCACAACAATCTTCTTAGCAAAGTGGCAGGTTCATCATGGGGTGCTCGTGCTCCAATTTTGCAGACATCAGCTCTTGCCACCTTGTATTCGGTGGCGGAGTACTGTGCACCAGTTTGGAGTTGATCATCACACACCAAACTGGCAGATAGGCAGTTACATGCTGCCATGAGTATCATCTCCGGCACCCTGCATCCGACTGCACTCCCATGGCAGCTTCCAGTTCTGAGTAATATTTCTTCTTCTCATATCAGACGAGAGGTTGCCACTGGCAAGTTACTGGAGAAAGTATGTGCCAACGCAAGCCTGCCTCTGCACGATGACCTTTTAAAACTACCAGCTGCACATTTGTTGTTACGTCGTCCATTATAGTCTCATTTGCCATGCCAGGATGTTAGGGCAGAAACACTCTGGCGAGAGGAAATGATATTGCCGACCCCACAATTTGCCCACCTGGTTTTGACCTGCCCCGTCGCCAATAGTCCCTATTGAACAGGTTTTGGACCAGGCAAGGTCTCTCTGGAGCTAACCCGTATAGTTGGGGCCTTCGTGACAGCCCTTTAAGCAGCTGCGGTGCAACACAGATGGTGATGCACATTGTCAACGAATGCCTGCTGACTAGTTTCAGTGATGGCCTAGAAGAACTGCATCACGCCACTGAAGATGCCATCGCTTGGCTAGATGACTATGCACACGCTAAATAAATAAATGATCCATACAGTACTCCTGGTCAGTTTCACTTAAAACTTTCCCTATTGTCTTCCAAACTTTCTGTGCACTTTCCCAGGCTTATCTAATGGACTTAGGTTCTCTCCCCACAGTTTCACTTCTTTAGATGCAAAATTCTTCTTTGCTGTAGCTTCTGCCATCTGGAGTAGCCTTCTTCTATCTCCCCAAATCCTTTAGAATCCCAACTTTACCTTTACTTAATTATTTTTGTTCCTCTGCTACTTATGCAGCTGCATTCTACTATGTTTTGGGATAGTTCTTACAGCATGAAATGCTATGCACAATAGGCTTTATCGCAGAGGTGCTCAAACTGTGGCTCACAGAGCCCTTTCTAGCAGTCTGCAAAGTGGAGGGCCAGATCTTCAAAAAAGCTCAACTCCCATTTAGGCATCTGAAAATCTGGTCACTTAATTTAAGTGCTTCAGACCCATCAGCTATAATTGAGGACAATTGTAGATGCTAAATGTTGAGAACGTCTTAAAATCTGGCTATTTCATTTCAGTTGTAATCAGGAGATGAGCTGTCTCTTCTTCTGGTTGCTGAATGCTCTTGTGAATCTGGTCCAAAATGTTCTGAATACCCAGCAAAACAGGTGATCTCCTGAAGTGATCTGCAAAATGAAAAAATAGAAAAATTCTTCCTTTATTATACTGAAGTGGCTAGATTTCAGTAGTCTTGTTGGACTTGTGAAGTATGATCCGCTAGTCTGAGAAGGGACTTGTGTGGATTTGATTACAGTCTATAAGTACCTACATGGGAACAAATATTTAACAAACATGGGCTCTTTGGTCTAGCAGAGAAAGTGTTATAACATGATGCACTGGCTGGAAGTTGAAGCTAGAAAAATTCAGACTAGAAATAAGGTGTAAATTTTTAACAGGGTAATTAACCATTGGAACAACTTACCAAGGGTCGTGGTGGATTTTCCATCCCTGATAATTTTTAATAAATATTGGATGTTTTCCTTAACAATATGCTCTATGAATTATTTTGGGGAAGTTCTGTGGCCTGTGTTATACAGGAGGTCAGACTAGATGATCACAATGGTCCCTTCTAGCCTTGGAATATGTGAAACTGTTGATGTGGTCCCAGGCTCTGTAGCTGCTTCCTAGGAGTTCTAGTCCTGAAGTCTGAGAAGTGAATTGTTTGAAAGAGCCTTATATATTGTTGCTTGTGTTTATTGCAGCTTCTGTGCCCCAAATGCACTTCGAAGTTGGGCTGCTTCAGTTGGCGTGGTGAACAGTGTTCGTGTGGCCGATGGGTGACTCCTGCCTTCCAGATTCACAAGAGTCGGGTGGATGAAATGAAAGCGCTGCCAGTCTGTGGATTCCAAACTCTCAAAACGTGAACGCTGGTGCTTGCTGGCTTTAGTGACTCCCCTGAGATTCTCTGAGAACTGTTGCCTGTTATAGTGTATTGATGTGGTCAGTAGTTACTTCCTTTCTGTTAGCATGAGGGGAGTTTGACACTGCTTGAACATACAGTTGTAGCACAAGCTTCTAGTGTTTATGAACATGTGCATCGGTGCAAGAGAATTGTTTAAGATGGGCTGGATGACTCTCCTTGAGGCTTCCTGTATTTCATAGATTTGGGGAGGGCCATATGAATTAATGGAAAAAATCCATTGACATCTTTTTAAAAAACCATAGATGAAATATTGCTGATCGTAGAGCCTGCAAGTGTGAAGTGCTAATAAACTCCATCTAGTCATGCCATGTCATGTCTTGCAAAATATCTGGTAAAGTGTTGGAACACATTTGACATCTGTAAACACAGAGCATGAAAGGCATATTTTGAAACCAGTGGTGTTGTGAAGGCTCCTTAGTTTAGAAGGAGGATTGCGTGTGGCTTTTGCTTGTGGGCTATCATTTCATGGTAGCATTTCTGTAAGACCAGTTCCAAAGGTCCTATTTGAAGGCAAATGTTTATGAAGTGTTCTGAAAAGGGAATGCATGCTGTATGATATGGGCTTATGACCAGAACACAGCGTTGGGGGTGAGGAGTTTTATTCCACTCTCTTCTGTAAACTGTGTGTGTGGCTGTGGCAAGCTACTTCTCCTCTGCCCCAATCTCTCCAGTTTCCTCAGCTGGAAAATGGAGGTGGTGATTTTTTGTAAAACACTTGAGATTTTTGGATAGAAGGTGCTGTGTATGTACTGTTTAGTCATGGAGATGGTCTCTTCTGAGGGTGGTTCTTCAACTTTTGTTTAATTTGGATCAAAGAACTGTTTCAAGTTAAGTTAGTAAATGGATGTTGAGACAATTTTCTATGAATGCCACTTTACAACAGGAACCTGAACAATTTTTCACGGGCCTCATAGGTAGCAAGGGGAGAGCAGTACCGGATTTAAAATGGCTCTGGTGGCACCGTGACGCCAGGCCCACACTTGGAAGGGGCCCACAATGGGTTAATCCAGCCTGGGCCACAGCCCAGCAATGTGAAGAGTCAGCAACTTCCCAGCACCAGCTGAAACACTCAGCAGCCTGGGGAGCGCAGCGCGCAGGTGCAAAAGGGACTGGGTGTGGCAAGTTTCTAAGAAGTGGTGGGAGTTGTAGTTTGCATGCCGCTGTGTTCCGCTGGGGCCCGGGGACCTGCACTGCCAGCTGCACTACTAGTCCCAGAATGCCCCGCGCCATGCTACTAGCCACCCCAGCTGAAGTTGTCAGAGCGGACCAAAAAGAAACCCCAAGCAAGGAAATGGTGTGGTGCAGGGAGAGGGTTCCCAGCACTAATCCCGCTGCGCTCCCCTCCCTCTTGGAGCTCCTGGCTCCCCCCACCCCGAGTCTCTCTCTCCTGGGGCGGTGGGGAGATGGGGGCAGCCCCCCAGCAAATGTGATGCCTGGGGGCTCCTGGGCACTGTCTCGACCCTGCACTTTGGGGGGCGGGGGGGTGGTTGTCTGTGGACCCTGGGAGTAGGGGGTGTGGTGACAGCGGGCCCTTGTCAGTGCTGGCTGCCATGCCCCCTGCCAGTGAGAATGAGTTAATGGAAAGTTTCTAAAAAGAAACTATGATCGATAAGAGTGATTGCAGATGATTTAAAATAAGACAAAAAGAATGTTTTAAAATGAGCCAACATGGCCCTTCCCAACCCACATACCAGTGTTAAAGCCTATGTGAACCCAGGTGCAAAGGGGAAACTGTTGGTCAGCAAAAAGGAGGGGAGGAATGAGGGAGGAAAGGCCTTAGAAAGACAGGAGGTTGTAAATCTTATCTTAATCAAGACTAGAAGTTGGTCTGAAATGGGTTTTAATGGAAGTCAGTAATTGGCAATGACAAGCACTTGTTTGCTAAAGGGCATAAAAAGTAATAGTTAAAGGGTGCATTGCTAATACCTGCCTGACCATGTTGAAGCTGCCCAAAATGGGTCTAAGCACTCCTGGGTTTGTTGTTTTTGTAGGTATCTTGATCAAATGCTTATAAATGTTTTTGTTTGTGTTTTGGATGTATTAAATTGCTATTATTTAGTCTTTTTAGGCATGTTCAGAGCAATTGTATAAAATACAATTAGGCCTTTGGACTTATGGTTACATTAGGGTCTTGATTGTACCCTGCATAATCATTCCAACACTTCCTTAACTTTTTGCCCAGTGGTTAATGCACTCATGTGAGAGACCCAGGTTCACTTCCCCCATCTGCCTGATTGGGGAAAAAGGTGGGAGACTCCCGTTCAGATCCTCTCTGGGGGGTGCTATGGGACAACTACTAGCCTATGGGATATTCTGTTGCGGGTCTCCCTCAGTCTCCTCTTGAAGTTGTTCTGCTGTAGAACATTGGGCCAGAAGAGAGTGACTCTATAGCAGTGGTCCTCAGACTTTTTCAATTGTGCTCCCCCTTTCCCAATTGCATGCCCCTGGGAGCTGGGGTGTGTGTGAGTGGGGCAGGATGGGGGAGAGGGAGCTGTGCTCTGGGGATGAAGGGGTGAGTGGGGCAGGATGGGGAAGCTGCACTTTGGGGGTGGGGGGATGAATGGGACAGATGGGAAGGGGCAATTTGCACTTGGGGCAGGAGGGGGGAGTAGCTGATACCTCTCTTGCTGGAGCCATCCCTGAGCTCCCCCAGGCTCCAGGAGCAGCAGCACCTGCTGCTGCTCTTCCCACCTATTGGTGGCAGAGACCAGTTACTGCAGGTAACTTGACTTTTAGTGTCTGGGCAGCTGGGACTGAGGCAGGATAGGGCTGGGAGGTGCTCTCCCTTTTCTTGGGGGGGCAGGCCTAGGCGTGCTGTGTCTAGGGTGACCAGACAGCAAGTGTGAAAAATTGGGCTGGGGGGTAAAAGGAGCCTATATAAGAAAAAGCCCCAAATATTGGGACTGCCCCGACAAAATTGGGACAGCTGATCACCCTAGCTGTGTCCCATCTCCCCTGATGTTCCTCTGTGCCCCCTGGGGGACGTGCCCCACAATTTGGGAACCACTGCTCTATAGCCTGCTGGTTAGGGCACCACCTTGGGAGATGGGAGACCCAGGCTCCCCTTCCTCCTGCTCCAGTGACTATTTAAAGGTCTGTCATTCTTCATAAGTTTCTATTTCAGTAGCTATTGGGACAAGACTGTCAAACATAAATTGCCATCTTTCAATATCCCCTATCACCCACAGTTCAATGGGAGGGAGCCCATATCTGCCCATATCTACTTTTAAGATCTTCTCAAAAGGGCCATATAAAGGCTGTCCTTAGTAAAGAGCACCAATCCCTTTTCTTGTACAGTAAGTGATGCCAAGCTGCCCTTGGAGAAGATGGCCTCTGTGTGGGATGGGATGAGGGGAGGAACAGGTGGATGGTGGTTCGGTCATCTTTGTGAAGGGTAGCTAGTGGCCTCACTCCTTTGCAGAATTGTAAGCTGTTGGAGACAGCACCTAGTCTCAGGTCCTGCACTAATACAAATGGGAGGTGGCTGCCATTTTTGAAAGAACAGTTTTGGGGGGATGTCATTCTTCAGTGTCCAGAGAAACAATCCCATTTTTCAAAAAAATACTCATTGCTCCAGATCCACAAGATTCATCTACCTGTTTGTAGGGATGCCTGAGTGGAGAGATGTGGGATAAGTCAAATAATTTATAATGGATCCTTTAAGAAATTTTTTACTCCCATACTAGCTAATGGCTCTACATGTAAATTCTCAAACTGTTCATTTATGGGTGGGGCATTCTTCAGCCATGCTGAATCTCCCTGCACTTAAGTGCAGAGCTTAGTACTATAGAGCCCCAACAACTGCTTCCATAGCAGGAGGGTTGGGAAAAGTGCGAAGTGAAGGGCTGTCAAGCGCCTGTTGCAGAAGTGGAGCCTAATTTGTTATTCATGGACCCAGCACATTACTGTTTAAGGGATCAATTGTCCAAATAAGCCAGGGGCCTACTGATCAACCTGCATGCATTATAACAAGGCAAGTATATATAGATGCACCCATTCCATAGCTATAGAAACAAAGGCAGAAAGGTAGATGGTGTGACAAGAGGCTGTTCCCTGTGCTATTAAACAACGTGGGACTGTTTTCAGATGCTAAAAGGCCAACGGTGGTGGCTGTAAAGGTCACTAATTGCATCTTGTCTTTAGGAAAAGAGACAACCTTTCACCTGCAGCCATTGGATTTGTACTGATTCAGTTTTCTAAGGGAAAGGGCTAGATGCTTGGGAAGTAGTTAAACTAGGTCTACCAAGGCAGTTTTAGGGGGGAGATCCCCCTCATCCCTTCCTGTGAGAGCTGGATAGAGCAGAACTAAGTAGCCATTTGCACAACAAACATTGAAATTGTGCATTGAAAAGCATCGAGACTGACAGTTGGGTTCTTTTGTAAGTTAGTTAAAACTACCTTGACATTTCAAGCATTGATCTGCTAGGGCAAGCCTAAAACAATTCCTGCATTAAATTTTATAACATTTTAAAACCAGGAAGTGAAAAGTTTAATGGATTTTAATATAATAAATGCCTTTAATCACATAAGATTCAAAGTGTTTCTAGAACCCCAGGTTGGTCTTCCTCTTACAGCAATAGGTGATGCTAGATTAGAATTGTCTATTCTAGTTTTACATTCATTTTCTTGATATTTCTTCCCAGCTAAGCCCCATGCAACAGGATGCTTTTCCTTTCTGAAAGGCAGCTTTAAAACCTAAAGGGATTCTAAAAGCAGTAGTGTAAGGGGTGGGAGTAGTTTAGTTTGCTCAGACTTTATTTGTAGTATGCACTAACTTCCTAGAAGTAGTTTTGATTTTGCAGAGAGGAAATAGACCATGAATAGGAAGAGCCCACAAATACTTTAAATCCACTTTATTCTCATTGACTTGAACAGTTTTGCACAACTTTCAGCAACATCCATTATGAAATGAGGAAGAGCAGGTGTTGGTTTGTTTTTTACACATCCTTTCATTCCTTCCACATGTGTGGAGGAAAAATTTGTAGCAACACAGTGAAACATCAATTTCAACACTGAAAACAGACAAGACAAAACAAAAATATATATATATGCAACTTTGAACTGGTCACACCTTAGGGCCAGGTACAGCACAATAAATATTACAACTGCTTTATCTTAGACCTGTTGTAAAGTTTATAACATCCTCTATTAATTTAGAGAAATAGAACATCTGTCCTCTAGCATGGAATGCTACAGACACAGTACACTTGTGATAAGTGTGAACAATGAGGATTCTGGTAAGGGCTTGTATAACTACTCATTTATACATGACCATGCTTCATGGGCAGCATACACTGAAATTAAATGA